CGTGCCTCCCTCTTCCTGACAGGGCCGAGGGTCCAGAGCTAGTGGCCAGGGGAGGTCTGACACCATCCGTGGAGGCACCATCCCATCCACTGCCTGTCTTGGGGGCTGGAAAGACACCGGCCGGGAACCGGTGCTGCCCGTCCCCGCCCCACACTAATAACTTCTGCACCAGAGACACAAACAGCAGACAACAGAAGCCTTGACACGCTACTATTAAGGTTGATTCAATCCACGAGGCCTGGGTGCCGCCTCGTAATTTCCTCCTGTCTCCAGATGAGGGAGGGGAATCTGGGTGACTCCATCCAGCTGTCGCCTGTGCCGTGAGCCCCTACGCACAGCAGACCTCAGAGGGCTGAGGGTGGGGCCAGGGACTTCCTGGCGGAGGCAAACGCTCCAGTGGGCTTGGCCGACGACCGGAGCCCGGTTGGAGGTAACTCTCCTCCTGGCAGAGCTCTGAATGGTGCCCCCAGCCCAGGGCACCCCCCCAATCCTGCCCATCCAGGAACCTGCCGGGTCAGGGCCAATCAGGTGGCCGGGGGCGGCCCCGACCCTGCCAAGTCCACGCAGACAAGGTTGGTGCCCGGTGCTCTGAGCTGAGGCTGCGGTTATTTACGACAGAAAGCAGGGTGTGCGGTCTGGGCACTCACGTCCACGCCGTGACGGCAGCGCCTCCAGTCCCGGCCGAGTGTGCTACGCTGTCTGTCAGCAGGTGTGCGCCTCCCTCTTTCGCACACGCACACAGGATCTCATGGCTAACTGGCCTCTACGCACAACTCACCATCACTTCCCGTGACTCAAAGCAGCATCTCTCCCTGTCTGCACCAAGGACATTCAGCCCAGTGGGGGCATCCTCTGCGGGGGTGTCCAGGGCACTGTGGGGGCTGAGTGGCACCCCGGCCCCACCCACTGGGTGCCAGGACACCCCCATGTGGCAAACATAGATGTCCCCAGACACTGCCTGGTGCGCCCTAGGGGGTCACCCCCTTACTGAGAAAGACCCCCAGGAGGCAGGAATCTCCACCGACCTTCCCTCAATATGACAAAGTTGCATAGCGATGGCCTTTTGCGGCTGACGTCCAGTCTCGTAGGGGGGCTGATCCTGGGCCAGGTGGTGAGCAATCCAGTCTTGTTCAAGACAAAGCTCCTGTCAGCAAGTGGCAGTGCTCTTGTGTTAGAGCTGGTGGGGGGACAGGGCCACCAGGGGCCAGGGAAGCTCAGGAGTGAGTGCTGCTTCTCCAGGGCCTCCGTCAGAGGGCAAAACAGCCACTCTTCCGACCTTGACGTGGGGACGGTCTGCTCCTCACCCCACGCGGGGAAAGCTGACCAAAGCTAAGACACTGTCACCCCTCACGGCTGGCCGACCGTGGCAGCTTCCAT